AAAAAAAAAAAAAAAAGATTAGGAAGAGAAAGACTACCAACTAGAGACTAAGACAGACAACGGCTAGTGAAGTAGTGGGTGAATATGAGAGCACTGTGGCTCTCAAACCAAGTGAATAAAGTGTTCCAAGAAGGAAGAAATGAACAACAGTGACAAATGCTGAAAACAGACTGAATAGAGAGGAGTACTAAGAATCAGTCACTGAATTTGGCAATGTGCAGCACTGAAAAAACTTTCAGCACAGTCATGGAGACAATAGTGCACCCAGAGTAGGTATAAGACTAGGACATGAGGAACTGGTAATAAACTCTTTCAAGGAGACATACTGTAAAGTGGAGCCTAGGAAATCAAGATTATCCTATAAAAAGGATGTGGAGTTCAGGGTGTTTTTTGTCTTCCACTTTTTCAAAAATATAAAAAATATTATTGGACATCTATATGCTTATGGGAATGATCCAGCAGAGAGGGAAAAAGTTTACAACACAGAAAACAGAGGGGACAATTGCTGAAGCAATGTCCTTGAGCAGCTAAGAGGATCTGGGCTCCAGTGGAAAACTGGAGGGTTGGCCTTAGATGACAGTGTGCATGACTCAGCTTCTGTGACAGGTGAGAAGAATGTCTGAGAACACAGGTGGCAAGCTAGTAAGTAGAGAGGGAGGCAGAGGTCATAGAACGTCTATTTTCTCAGTGACATAAGGAACATCAGAGAATCATTTACAGATTTTTAAATAATTATAATTTTAATTATATGTATACATGTAGCAATTAATAAAGCTAAATAAAAAAGTATAAACACAGAAAAACATTTCAGTAATAAAGTTATTAACAAAGAAATACCTACAAAGCTTGCTATATAGATGAGTTAAACATTTGTTTAAAAATGTTTAATTATCAGCATTTTTATGTTATAGAAGCCCTGAAGAATACCCAAAGGGTTAAGATAATAGAATCAATATTAAGTCGCTCAAGTGTCTGACTTCATCTCAGGTTATGATCTCACGACTTGTGAGTTCAAGCCCTGTATCAGGCTCTGTGCTGACAGCTGTCTGTCTCTCTCAAAAATAAATAAACATTAAAATTTTCTTTAAAAAAAAGAATAAATATTAAGTAGTATTTGCCACAATTTATAAAACAACAAAATAGATAACAACTTAATCATAAATTCACTACTTCATATGTATTTAGAATGTGATTTATACTTATCTCCAAAGAGAAGATATAAGGGTTGATTGAAGTATTAGCCCATGAAGTTTTTCTGACCATAAAATTGGTTTTCAGCAATTTGCTTTATTTAACGCAGAAAAAAATCTTAAAGAAATCATTTCAGTAAGAAAAAAAAGTGGTATATAGTCCTTTTCTACATTAAATGTTATGTAAATAAATTAATATGTGGTAAAATAAATACAAATAAAGCATAATACATCATAACACATACTATATCATATATATCTTAGGACATTCAAAAATAATTTATCATGACAAATTTCTGTAATCTATATAAAAATGTCAAAGATGATTTAAACTCACTAATACTATTCTAATACTATAAGATCACTAGGAATCTTAATCTACAAACTCTAGAAATATATTTCTCAGTAAAACAAGCATTTTGTATATAAGATATTTTGTTTTTGTTTCAGGTGTGTGTGTGTGTGTGTGTGTGTGTGTGTGTGTGTGTGTGTGTTAAAGAAATATCCTGGCCTTTTTATTTCTTCCTCTTTATTCACTCACACTTAGAACAAGACTGAAAAGTGTCCAGATGGGGAAAAAAGACTGTTACATAACTATTAGGAACTGGAAATAAAATTGCCAACAGAACTGCCAAAAAAATTACTACCAGTAAAATTACATCAATGGTCTTCACATTTACCATTAAGTCCATAAACTACTTAGAATTATATAGAAGTGGAGAATGTGCATGTATTTCAGGGAGAAAGTACATAGACTTTCATACAATTTGTCTATGGTGTAAGGCCCACTGTCACAAATGAGAAATAGTATGACAGAATTTCAGTAAACACATCAATAGTGTCATAAGAGTAAAGTTAGTTTTCCTTCATGA